TCCAGCGCGACGCGGTCCGTGAACTTGACTGTCTCGCAGCATACGATGACGGGAACTTCGACGCCGCCGGCGCGCTCCTTGGCCGACATAGCGACCAGTGCGGTACCGACGCGCGAGTACAGGCGACCGTTACTGGTCATGGCGTGAGCGCCCAGGAAAACCTTGGTAGCGTCTTTGATGGCGTGGCTGATGCCGTTCATGAGGGAGTATTGCACGTCCAGACCGGCGTTGGCGAGTGTGCGCGCCAGGTTCTTACCCTCGAACAGTGGCCGCGAGTCGATGATGGAGACGCGGAATTGCTTGCCCTCCTTGTGTGCCGCCAACAGCGTCTGCTTCACGATCGAGCTGCCTGCAAATGTCACGATCACGTCTCCATCCTGAATCTTCTGTGCTGCGCTGCCGGCAATGACCTGGTCGGCGACGGTGATCTTCTCGCGGATGAAGCTGTCGATGAAATCGCACAGCGAGGCCTTGGCGGTAGCTTCGGGGACGGACGGATCAATGGAGGAGATGGCGAGCTTGAGGGCGCGGATAGCGTTACCCTGACTGATAGACAAGGGACGACACGTGGAGAGGTAGGTAATCTGGTGAGAGAGGTGGGTAGTCAAGTGGCGGGCGAGCGAGGTGCCCAGGGGGGTAGTATAAGCTTCGATGACCTGACAAACGTTAACACAGCACAGCACACAGCACACAGCCAAACTCCAAAATAGAAAGATATACCCTCTTGAAAGCCAACAACGTAGCAACACATCTAGCACTACTACCACAAACCACATAGTCTCTCATCTGCATGCCCAGCGCCAAAACCGCCGGATGCACCTCCTTTCCAGCGCCAGCAATCGTAGTCCTGCGCTGCTGACCATACAAGTGTCCAAAGACCGAAACATTCTTCTCCTCCTGCTTCTTCTTCAACTCCGCCGCACTCGGCTGGCCCGTCGCCTGCGCCGAACCGCGACGAGGCAGCTGCTTCTGATGACCACCCTTCTGCGGCGTCGCAGCACCAGAAGCATCCTTCCCACCAGCCCCAGCACCACCGGGACCGGACGCGCCCTTCTTCCCACCAGCAGCCGACTGACCCCCACCGGGCGCAGCAGCACCAGCACCACCGGATTGTTCCCGTTCAGCGCGTTCGCGAGCGCGACGGGCGGCCTTTTCGGCTTTGGCTTTCTTCTTCAATTCGGCGGGGGAGAGCGCGGCGCCATCACCACCAGCGGCGGCAGTATCCTTTCCTTTAGACTGTGATTGTTGCTGTTGTGGTTGTTGCTTGGCGGGCTGTGATTGCTGCGGTTTAGCGGGCTTAGCGGAGGCGTTGGCGCCGGCGGCAGCAGCAGCAGCAGCAGCGGCAGCGCCTGGGGATGATGATGATGATTGCTGGGATTGCATTTCAGCCGGGGGTTGTGAGGAGTCAACGGGGTTCGCCATTATGAGAGGTGATGTGTAGTCGAAGGAAGGAGGGGGAGTATCGAGGCGATCGGGAGGGGCATTGGAGACTTTTTCGGCGGAGGAGGAAGTGGAAGAAGAAGTGGATGTTGTGGGGGGAGCCGGCGATGAAACCCGTTCCCGTCGTTGACTCACGCTTTGCTGCTGCTGCTGCTTCACCACATAAGCTGCTGTTACCACCACGAGAATTCCCACGTATTGCACCACGGTGCTTCCCAGTGTGAGGAGTATTTCTAGGAGTATCATTCCACTGTGTTACTTCACCTCACTAGTAAAAGTTTCTGTGGTGGTTGGGAGTGGAGTCATCGGGGCTGCGAAACCGGATCTCACCGGCGATAACTAGGAATTGCTCTACAGAACATTCACCTATTTATCTATAACTGACACCTTCATGTATCAAGGTATACTAACTATAGCAGGTACCTGAGTCAGAGCTGGGCAGACATTCTATCAAGCCACAGCCGATGTGCATCGACTAATCACAAGGTTTCATGGTATTCGGGCATCAAGCATCCTTGTCATCCTACCATACAATCATGTCATCGTGCCAGAAAAGTAAAAGCTAAAGGCCAGAAGAGAAGAAGGGAAGAAAAGCAGCAAAGATATCATCGCAGCGAGACGCAGTTCAAATCAAACCAGCGTCTCCAATTATGTGCATCCAAGTCAATCCATCCAACGCCATAATCACAAAGCCACCCACGCTACCCAGCCCAGTCCCATTCCATTCTATTCACGAAGTTGTCCATTTATCGATTGTTGACCCAAACATTGCCCAGCGCTCGTCGTCGCTTTCGTCCTTCAGGCTTCCAGCTGGGTCGGAATCGTTCGTGGTCCGTTGCTATCTTGCGCTTGAACATGCTTAGATCGTCCAGAAGGTTCTCCATATGCGTCTGCATTTCCTGCGCCTCAACATGACTGGCCTCGCTTTGCATCGTGTCTTCATCTTCCCAAATGAGGTCCGGCTCGGGTTCGGGCTCGACGTCGGACGGAGGCGATCGGGCACGGCTGAGCCGCTTGCGATTGGACGGGGAGCCATCGTTCTCATTCACACTGTATAAGCCACTCCGGCGCTTATGCACCACCACCGGAGGGATCGGGTTCCGGATACTGTCCAAGGCCAGCTTGAGGTGATTCCGCAGGGCCTCGTTCTCCGTCTGCAGCTGCCGGATCTTACACTCACTCACCATCTTCGTCTCCTCCATTAGTCGCTGGAGCTTCTCCACCTTCTGCTGATAGTCTTCGAGGCGCTCGTTCTGCATCTCATTCTCCCGTCGGTTGGCTGCGGCCAGGCTGACACTCAGCTGAAGCGTGCGTATCGTTTCCGCCATTTCGGCGATCTGTTTATCACGTTCGGCGGCGGAGAGGTGGTCCTGGTTAACTCGGGCCCGTGTTCGGATGCGCTTGGCCTGGTCTGCGTATCGTAGGGTGGAGAGCGTTTCCTCGTAGTCACTGGGAGAAATACATGCTATCATCGCCGTCTTCGAGTTGCCCCCAAGACTATCTTTCAGCAGCCAGGTCAGGATCGAGTCGCGATACGGGACCACATCCTTGCCCTTGCGTTTGCCTCCGCGACCCGGCTTGGGATCTGCCAGTGCGGCAATGACTCGACCCAATGTGGTCAAGGACTTGTTGATATTGGACCCCTCGCGCAGTCGTTGACCGGTTGCTTCCGTGGACTTGGCTCGTTCTGAACCTGCCAGATCAACGAGACGTATTCGTGCCGTGCGCTCAGTGGTTTCATCGGTCGAAAGGTCGTGGTGGATCTGCTTCAGAGTAATAGTAAACACTGCGTGTGATCGGGACGATGTATCGTTCATCTTCGTGCTGGCCACAGTGCGCGATACGTCACCCTTGCGCATGAACTTCATGAGTTCGTCGAAGCTCTTGACCGTCACCTCTGTTAGGTCCTTGACGTACGGGCCTTCCAACGGGGACTCCCGAATACGAAGGTAGTGCGGCGGGTCGCTCCGAGGGACCAGCAGATCGCGCACATGTTCATTGTAGACTTCAAAGTAGGAGACGCGCACGTTGAAACTAATATCCGGAGATTCGGCGCTTTCGATACGTTGGAACAAATCTTCGCAGGTCCGAGGAATCAATCCAGGCGCTTCCGGTGTGCCCATCATGGTATAACTCTTGCCAGAACCCGTCTGGCCATAGGCGAATATGCAGGTGTGGTATCCTTCGAAATTGTGGTCCAAGAACTCTTCTCCCAAACAGTTGTAGACGTCTTCCTGGTGGGCGTAGTGGGGATCCCGTTCGTTATGCGACCAGAAAGAATTGTCAAAAACAAATGATTTATCCTCCAACACCTTTCCGCGCGCCTGCGATTTAGGCTTCCCTTCGTCTTCCGGGCTTATCTGGGGCGCTCGAAGTTTGGTCGTCTGCGTATGCGGATCCATGCTGATCAGACATTCGGCATTGCGGTTAATCTCTATGCTCCCAAATATGGGATGACTGTCAGCCTCCATCCGTAATATTCTTCATCGTTCAGCCAGACGTACCTCTGGGAAGGAACTTCCTCACACGGACGACAACGCGCACGTTGCCGCCGCCGCTGGAAGGACTAGACATGCTGTCGACTCGGTGGTGGGCAGACACGGCCACGCCCTCGCGTGCGCGCAGTGACGGACTGGACGCGGTTGATCGTAAGGTAGCGGCGGAGGCAGTCATCGAGTGGGCCGAGGGACTGGTGATGCCGGTTATCGCGGAGATCCCGGAGGACGAGGCGGAGGATTGGGAGCCAGGCCCGGAGCCGTGGCCGATATGGTGGTAGAAACGGGGGTCCAGGGACATGGCGTGACCGTGATCCCTCAAAAACTGTACAAACTGAGTGAGGTGCTCACGATGGCGTTGAAGTAGGCAATGGTACATACAGGCAACTGTACCACCGGATGGTAGGGACCGAGAGGCGGGCTCTTTTCTTATCGAGGAGGGATTGATATTAAGGGTATGGGGGGTGGTGGTGGCTGCTGGGTTAGTGGACCCAAGAATGGGCGTAGTGCTCGCCCTCGAAGGGGGGGATTAAACAAGGAGGATATCCAGAATGTATATGCTTGCGCGGACCGTCCGTCTGCAAGTTCAATTGACATCCGGCACTAGACAACAGAGCGATTCCACTCTCGACATGGGGTAAACAGTCGGGCAGTCGGGGGTTTCGGGAAAGCTCCTGCGATGGAAGGTGAAAGAGAGAAACATGCAGTGGCACGCAAGGGGATGGAAGACAGTACACACTTCCCCCCTCTCGAAGAAGGTACACGGGGAGATGCAGCGATCGAGGAGGGACCAGAAGCAACAATCGAGAACTTGGGGGGGTGTTTGATCGTGGGGAGTTCAAGATGAATGAATCGCATCGCCATGACCTCGTTTGGGGATTTCCCGATCGGGAATAGCAGACAGCCTGAGGCAGCGCATGGACCTTCTGGCAGCGGGTGGTTGCCATGGCAATTCTACAGACAACCAGGGACACGAGCTCACGATAAGAAAGACTACTGCTGTGTTCGGAGAGACACAGACCGCCGAGGATGCAAGGATATGTCTCGATTGCATACAATCTGATTGTTTCGATTGGGTCCGGTGGTCAAGGAGTGCACCACCGGGAAATTACTAGCACTATCCACATTTACACATTGCATGCACTCATGTCTCAGCATCCACCGCTCTTGTCCTGCAAAGAGTGACTGACAGCATCGAACATTCCGCATGGTCTCATATCATATAGCCGCGTTGCTCCCTCTATGGACGCCTCCAGCGTCATCATTCCCACCGGGCTTGACTTAGTCTAGTCGAAGTCCTCATTTGCGGCCTCAAAGACATCTCCTTCGTCCGGGCCTTGTCGTCCTTTTCTCATTTTTTCCACGTCAATATAGGAATCATTGGGCACTGGGTTGCCGTTCCGATCCAACGTTGTTTCAAACATCTCCTCCGGGGTCCAGTTTGCACTGGGATCCTTGGCTTTGGAGGAGGTACTGGGCGCAACCTTCTCCTTGGCAGCTTCCGCAAGGCGCGAGACGGGATTCGAACCTCTTGAGGTCATGGTGGTGGTTATATGCTTTCTGTAAAAACTATTAGTTGATAATCCGGCTAAGACTGCTGGCCATCTCCACGGCAATCGAGTACATCTGCACCCGCAACCAAGGAAAAACAGCAAGCGTACCAGATGGTAGTACAGTTGCCTAGATGGACTTTAGTTGTGATGGTTACATTCAGATCGACGTATCATGAAACCAACGACAGAAGCGAACTGGGGCACGGGCCCGGCATGATATATGGTCCAATGGTGGCGTTAATGATGAGATTATGACGATGGGACTATCCGCATGATGGACTTTACTCACAGGCGGCTGTTGCTCCCAGCCGCACCCTTGTTGGTCTCGAAGCGTTGTGATTGCGTGGTTTTGGCTGGGTGAAGTCATTATGAAGTTTAACCGGTTCGCATTGGCTGAGCCTTCGTAAAAGCAGGGCAGGATCCATGGTCGCTTGCAGTATGGTTGCGTTGTCTTCGATTGTTGTTCTATGGGGTCCATGGTACATTAGTTGGTCTCACTAAGATGCAAATCAACTTATGATGACTTGATGGAATGTTTGTATAGCCGATCGCTCCAATGTACCCCACCCGGGGTTAGATTCGACCCCACAGCCTGGGGTAAGCCCCGACGCGCCATTGCACACAATGCTACCACACCCATTCCGATGGTGGCTGGCATGCTGGTTCTATCAACGCAATAAATGCCTCGTAATTGAACGACATCAAACAATCAATCTCAACCAGTTCTACGTGGGCCTCCAATCATAATGGCTTAGCATCATGACTTGCGTGGAAGCCCATTTTCTCATCGGCCAACGCACTCCACCGACTAACAAATATATCAGATCTGCATAATAATGTTCTCAGCCGTTACCAATTTGAGGTTGGGCTTTCTCGCTAGTAGTGGGGCACTTGTAACAGGGAACAATAGGTTGACTGAGACAAATTTGCTGATATGCCTGGAGGCTAAAGACAGAGCATGAGACTTTATCATAGTTGTATGACCTTCCTCACATCAAACCCGCTGTCTTTTTTCGAATCACTCCAAGGCAGCATATAACCTCGTTGATTGCTCACGACTCTTACCCCCTTCTCCATGAAATCAGTAGTGTAATGGGTATGTCCAAACACCCAGACTTTCACTCCATCAGGAATTCCTGATAGGATATCAGTTCCAAAGGCAACACTCCAAGGACTCTGAGCATGTCTAGGACTAGAGGTCCCCTGAAGTGAAGGTGCATGGTGCGTCACAACAAGGATAGACCGTTGCCTACTGCGCTTCCCCGCTGCTTCATTCTCCTATAGTATTGCACGTATCTCCTTCATCAACCAGGAATAATCAGAATCATGGCGTGCATTATGGTCATCAACCGACCAGTCTGCAATCCTTTGGAAATCTTTGACTTTTGACTGAACAATATCGGCCAATTCTTGGGGTACTTTTTGACCAAAGTGTGCAACCAAGGATACTAACGTTAGAACCTGGGACATCGTATCGTTTCTGATGGAGGACGATCAGCCGTCCACTAAGTGCAGGATCCTGCTCAAGTCGTTTTGCTCTTTCTATGCTCGTTTCAAATGTCTCAATATAGAACTCATGATTCCCAAGTACAAGAAACACCAATTTGAATCGATCAGTGAATTTCTGTAGGAAGTTGCGGTAATCTTCATAGTCCGTTAAGCGTCCGATATCGCCCGCGAGGATAAGATGCTCTGCGCAGGCGGGAATCTCATAGGATGAGTACTGTTGGTTGACCTCAAAGATGGAGGTCAGAAAGAATCTGGAATGATACGGATGATTGATTCAACGAAGACCATACTTTCCGAAGCATTGCCTTGATCCAAAACGAATGGGCGGTTGAAGCTGAGAGAAGGCGGAACTACTCAAAAAGGAAATTCCATGGTCGAAACAGTATATCACGTGACTATTAACAGCTACTGTAGTAGTATGTGCTAGGGCAGCAAGTTTCCCCCAATTCTGGAGTTGTCGTATGGTCACATTACTGAGAAGCTTTTGAAAAAATCACTGTGTTGGATGAAATTCGGTGAACAGTGACAAGTGGGACTCCGAGCATGTAAAATGAAGAGCGAAATAGAAGCTAAAGACATTCCTTTGATTTTCTTCTCCCTTCGAGACGTCAATCCAGTACACAAGTCATAGTATCGTTTTCATATACTGTTATCGAGACTAATCCAGAGCCTAGTGTCTTTGTTAGTATTTTAGTAAGAAAGTTGTTTATGTACACATGGAAAGCAAGTCTCCCAAAAGCTAAGCTATAGTTCTGCAGGGTAGACAGCCTTTTCCGAAATACGGCATAGCATAGCAATCAAGTCCCTATCAATGCTTAAAACCTCCTCTCTAGTCATATGTATCGAGACTCAATGTTCATTTGAAATGATAGACCACATTACCAGGTGCCTGGCCACGGGTATCGATTAGGATTCAGCTTTTCTGAACACATATTTTCCTTAGGTAGGGACAAGTAAATTCTCTCAAAAGTGTAACGATGTGTGTAACGATACTATGGATAGTCATACTAAGTGAAACATGAGCAGGTTACAAGGATCACTGAGCTTCGTCCCTCATGTGAAGTAGAAGTCATTCTTCTAGGGTATATATGTGTTCCAAGATTTCTGGGGTGACATGTGTGTCGCCATAGCCCAACCAAAAAGTGCCAGGGTTTCCAAATTTATCATAGAACGTAAATCGACCCTCCCAAGTCCTAGAAGCCGGCCAAGTTCTACCAGCCGAGAGAAACATATGGGTGACACACAGGGCGTTGCTTTTCTGATTTATGGTGACCTCAGCCGTATGAGAATCAATCCCCACTGTTCGCGTTTCTTCTGATCCCATCGGCCAATAGTAGAAGATACTGAAGAACCCAATACCAGTGTCGAAATAAGCGGTTGCGTATTCCAAGGCGGGGTCAACTGTGCCCAGATCATAGCCTTGAAGGTCTGCTTTTCGGAGTTCGTACTTCTTGGTGGTCAGATAAAAGTTCCGTTGTACCCAAGTGCCGCTCTTGTCTGGAAAATCTTGCTCTACATTATCCTCCTGCTGCTCAAAGTTGAGATCGTCCACCTTGTATGTAACTGGGTTCGTACCCACGAGAGTGACTTTGGAATCAAAGGTTCCACCCCCGGTATGGACAATCGTACCATCGGACTGTTTGATGCTAGCACCGATTCTCTTGTCTTCGACCTTCGTCGTCGTAACCCAGTGACGCTTCTTTTGAGGACCCCCAGCCGCCAGAGATAGGTCAGGCTGGGCGGCCCATGTAGTAGATGGCAGCCCGTGTTCGAATTCGTTTTCTGTGACTGAATAGCTCCACGATCCTGATATTTCCGTGGGAGGGTCGTCATAGTCAATGAGTTCGATCGTCTCGAGCTCGGAATCATTCAGCTCATAGGCATTGTTGGTGTCTGGATCAATCACACTGATAACAACAATCACAGGAACCTGCATGTTGCCATTGGCGTAAAGAGCATCACTCGTGGCGCTGGGTGTAGTGGCCTGGACTTCGAACGAGGAAACCTCCCAGGAGACGGATGTAGAACCCATGATGAGATAGTAGATGATTTATAACTGAGGTGAATGGCGTGAGTAGATGATATCTCTGGACAGACAGAGGAACGTGCTGCTCAAGGGTTATTATAGATTTCCTAAGCGAATATAGCAATAGGTGATGCCCGCCATCCTGGTTGTACAACTTGAAGAGAACACCATTGTTCCGATATCAGCTCTGGATCACACAGGCTCTTCGGGATTTGACTTATTTGATGAGACTTGGCCTTTTCCTTAGATCTAATCTATCTTGCGTAATCATTAGGGGCCTTTTGCCCAATGGAGATCCTGTCTCGTCGATCGTTGGCCACTTGCAGGTTCCAATGTATGGATAGTATAGATTCAGCATTCAGCTCCCTCCATAGTGGGTCCATCCAGTCTAAATGGTCCGAGGATTTCTCTAGCATAGTACATCAGCCGGTTCAGCTGCGCCCTGGACGCATATGCATGTTGAATGTTGAACTTTGCCACCCTTATGCAGTTTGCTTGATTGGGGAGCACCTAATTTGTTGCCAGCGGCGAGCAGAACGTATCAGTCAAAGTCTGGGCCCTGATTTTGGCGACAATCGCTAGACACAATCAATTCGAGAACTGATTTCATAGCCATTGTAATGTGGTTGCCAAGCGCAGGACGTGACCAACTAGTAACCCTCAACAATCTTCAAGTTGTATGGATACAACCCCGTCTGCGAAGAGCGAGATAGTACTGAGATAGTAGTAGACTACTAGGGCTGCTGCATTTCTTCTTCGTTTGGCATGGGTATTATTCTACCCAGCGTGTCCCCCTCACTAGTGCTCTAGCTAGCAGGGGTCCGTAACACCGCCCGTTTACTAGACCGACTAGTTACACAGCAAGATGCCACGATTCAATCCGGAGTGGTACCAAGCTGATACTAACTAGTGATTAGTCGGGCGGGCTACTGGAAAATCTCTGACCACCATAACACCAGCAGGGCGGGGTAGGCTCGCCATGACGCAGACACCATGTCCGGGATTTGGTTTTCTTAAGGTTGCAGCAATCCTGCGAGCTAATATTAGGAAAGATGCAGTGGCTCGTACTGTGCGATCGATAAGGCCCTATGGTTTTATTATATGCGAATATCAGGTGCACGTTGACGCATCTTCCACCTTCCATAAGCGTTAGAGGGCAGATTAATCTAATGTAACATTAATATAATAACTACCATTCTAGTATTGTCTAGACTCACTCCTCCACCCCTCCAATGTATAATAGCTAGATTAAGTACTACTTAGTATCCAATCATCCTCTTTGGATCCATCTCGGAATATGTTCCCGAGCTGAAATTCAGCTGGCAAACCCGAAAAATGTGAGCAACCCTTAGTACTAGTAGTCTTCTTAGCAGTCTCAGCCCTCCACTACTCTAACATGGTTTCGGAGAGTCCGACAGACCTGTAATGATGCTGTAATGCATCTGGGAGTTTGAGGTCTTAGCATGTACGATGTCGAAATAGTTGTATGTTATGTTGCCACCTTTGATATGAGATGCATGATTTGAATGAGACCTACTTGACGTGCTAGATCAACATGAGGTGGCAAGTACACCTCGCAGACGGATGAACGCTCCTCATGTTGTTCCACCAGTAAGACATGGATGTGTAGTGTAGAGACCTACTTTAGCGGCTTTGAGGTGACGAAGACAGCCTCGATCAATGTATCAATAGCCCAGTCATTGTGCACCTACTCCTCTGTGCTGACAGGGTGTGAAGATGTAGGGCATATACCAGCATGTATGTATATATAGGGAGCTGTTCACTGCTCTTGAATCTAGTCTAAGTGTCATGCTCATTCCCTGATCTCGTTCACAATTCTCCCATCATCAAAATCTCACAAATTTGGTTGGAACTCAGAAGACAGTTCATTATGTCGTCCAACCCTAGTGACCTCTACTCCCAGAGTTTCAATTTTCAAAGTTTTCTGCAGAAAGGAGTCGATCCTCGTACTGGACAATACACCGTCAGCATTCAACTCTTTGATGCGCCATCGGAGACTCGCAACTGTCCGTCACTCAAACTATCGTTGAGCTACAATCCCCTCAACACCAAAGATATCGGTCTGGGCACTGGCTGGTCTTTTAATCTACCCTCCTACGACCATCGCCAAGGCAAGACTCTGTTGCTCTCGACGGGTGAAAACTTCCAAGCCACTGAGACGACCAGTGCCTTTTTCATCCAGGACCAGAAGCTCAAGAGCTTCCAGGCCAAGAGAACGGGATCATCAGCAGGATCTATTTATGAGGTGGCCTACAAATCAGGCCAGGTAGAGATTCTCTCCGGTTTCAACAACACTTACAACCAATCGGTTCCAATCACCATCTACGGCGCAAATGGTCGTGCACTCAGTCTGGAGTGGACCCGCAACGGTGAACAGCCACGACTGAGTAAGATTCAAGACGGTGACGATGTTCTGCTGGAAGTTCAGTATTCCGATGCGCAAGTAACCATCACCAAGGCGCCTGGAACTACCGCGGCCAGCACCTTCACGCTTATCCGGCGTAATGCGCAATTAACCCAGCTCAAACTGCCGCTGGACGACGACACGCCCCCGTGGCAGTTTTCGTACAACTCCCTCAGCAACGGATTTGTGTGTGTCTCACAGGTGACAAGCCCCACTGGTTTGGTTGAAGAGGTCAATTACAAGCAAGATGGTCACCAGCTGCCCTCTGGAGCGCCTTTTACGAGAATTCCATACGTGGTGTCTCATGTGGCGCGTCCAGGCCGTCAGCAGCCAGCCATAAAGACAATCTACAGTTACTCCTCATATAACTTCCTGGGCTATGGAGGAGGACGGCAGTGGAGCGCTACCGGCGATAACTTGTACCAGGTGCCTGCGGAATACCAGTACACATCCACGGCGCAGCTTGAAGGTGGAGCAACTACAACCTATACTTACAACAAGTTCCACTTGACCACCAAGATCGAGGAACAACTGAACACGAAGAAAACTACCCAGGACATCACGTATCATGCGACTCCGAATACAGCATTTGACGATCAGCCTGCGCAATACTTGTTACCCAAAACGGTTGCAATCACCTATGCGGACACAACTGCCTCCAGTCGGACAGAAACAACAACAACCGAGTTTGACGAATGGGGCAATCCTGCTACGGAGATCAAACCGGATGGCTTGATTACCACTCGCACATACTACGCTGCAGATGGGGAGGCAAATTGCCCGGCTGACCCTCATGGTTTCCAACGATACTTGAAGACGGAAACAGTGACTCCGGCGGAGACGTCCTTTGCTGCACCGACCAGAACAGAGAAATTCGGTTATTTGGAGCTCCCTACTTCAAGCAATGCGACAGTACAGACATTTGTTCTGCAATCATCGCGCGTCACTCTTGAGGGGGACACCTCGCTGACCACTGCCGAGTATACGTATATCAACCAGCCAGACTCACGCGATCATGGACGCGTCCAAGAACAAAAAACATGGTTATCCTCGAAAGACAACGCCACAACCCAGACATTTGCCTACGAGTATCTCAATAGCGGCGAATTGAAAAAGACACTCAATACGGCCGGCTTCGACGGTGTTTCGGCCAAATTCGAAACCGTCCATTCCCTGTCATCTGGAAAGGTTACAGGACAGACAGATGATGCTGGTATCCAGGATGTCTTCCAGTACGATGCATTGGGCAGATTGGTTAAAGCCGCAACAGCGATCGATACCGATCAGGAAGCAGTCCGCTACAACAGTTACGCCATCTCTGACGACGGCAGTAGTGGTATGGTGCTGTCAGTCACGGATGCTAAAGGTGTTCAGACACAATACATTTCTGACGGCCTGGAGAGAATCTGCCAAGTGAAGAGACAAGATGATGATGGCTCGTGGGATGCATCTACCAACACATACTCCGGCACTTTTCGCTTACTGCAGGAGCGCAACTACAATGCTCTGGGCCAACATATTGAACAAACTGACATTGACTGGCTGCGTACCACAGATAGCGACCCAACGGAACTACGAACAACCGAGGAACTGCAGTATGACGACTGGGGTCAGGTCCTGAAGACTGTAAACAACAGCACAGGCGTCACGACGATTTCAGCAACGGATCCTATCAGCCTGAGTCAAACAGAAGGAATCGAGGGCGAAGGCCAAACCGTCACGCAGCTCAATCTGTCCGGCGTGCCTACTCAAATCCGCCTTCTGGGTAAAGATGGAACCGAGTACAGCAAGCTCAGATACAGCTACGATGGCCTCGGACGGCTGGTAGAAGAAGAAAATGCCTTGGGTCGCAAGACAAAATACCAATCTGACTCGTTTGACCGAGTCACTAAGACTACATGGGTGAGCGGCCGGGAAGTCAACGTTCAGTATGCCACTCAAAGCGCGGCAGCTCTCCCAACCTCACTCCAAGTCAATGACACAAGTCTGGGTGGACAGTCTTTCGATGGATTGGACCGATTGACGCAGCGAACAGTCGGCACGCGCAGTTTGAAGCAATCCTACCAGGGCAGCACCCCAGAGCCAACTCAGATTGCCACGGACAAGGGCGACTTCAAACTCACATACGAACCGGGTTTGCGCCAATCGCTTTCGACAGTCAGTGGCCAAGATAGGAATGAGACATACAAATATGACTCAAAGACGGGAGTTGCGCTACAGCTCAAAGGCTCATCCAGCACCGCGGATCGTCAGTACTTCCCGTCAGGCCTACTGAAAAGTGAAGCGCTCGACCTCAGCGAAGGTGTGGCATCCTTTTCTACTCAATCGACATACTCGATGGCCGGGAAGTTGCAAGGATATACCGACGTCCATGGAAAGAAATACCAGAACACATATGATAGTGCAGGCCGCCTGAGTTCCTTGACTCTTGGATCCCTCACGGTCTCTTATTTATACGACAGCGCCAACCGTCTGTCCGGCACTACAGTTCAAGACCAAGAGCATGATTCCAGCTTGACCACAAACCTTGTCTACGATGACTTCGGTCGAGAGATTGAGCGCACAGTGTTGCAAGGGGAGAAACAGGTGTCTAGACTGATTCAATCCTTTGGCGAGACGAGTCTTATCACCACGCGGCAAGTAGAAGATAATGGGAACATTGTCCGAAACGAATCATTTGCCTACGACGAGCACAACCGTTTGGTCAAGTACACATGCGAGGGAAGCCAACTTCCGAAAGATGAGAAGGGACATGAAATCCAATCCCAAGAATTCACCTTCGATAACCTCGACAACATCACATCAGTCACAACAGGTTTCCAAGATGGGACACAAAACACGGCAACCTATTCATACAGTCAGAGTGATCCAACCCAGCTCAGCCAGATTACAAACAGCCATCCCGATTTCACACCTCAAATCACCCTGGTATATGATGCTAATGGATGTCTCATCCAAGATGAGCAAGGCCGTGCCTTGGAATACGACAGCGGTGGCCGCCTGAAGTCAGTCAAAGATACCAGTGGCAGCCTTCTGAGTCAATACAGCTATGATGCAGCTGGTAAACTGATCTCCCAGTCAATCCCTGACCAGCCAGATACCCAGCTGTTCTACCGACAGGACAAACTTATCAGTGTCAAGTCCGGAGACCGCCAAGTGAGCTATATATCTGCTGGCAATGAATACCTGGGACAAAGTACCCAGAACGGCGAGTCTACGGAGATTCAGCTCTGGGGATCTGACGCGAATGGCTCTGTGCTCAACTGGTTCGACACAGCACAGCCAGATCAAATCCACCAACAGCAGTACACGCCGTACGGCTTCAGCGCCCCCGATTCTGCCTCCTCCATAGGCTTCAACGGCCAGTGGCGTGATCCAGTCACAGGATGGTACCATCTGGGTAACGGATACCGCGTCTACAACCCCGTCTTGATGCGCTACCATGTGCCCGAGCACACCGCCGACTAAGCCGGCGAGCGCGTCGATTCCAACGGACTTCCATGTTGGCATTCGCCCTTCGACTAGATCTGTTCCTATTCCGACTCCGACACTGGTTGCCACTCCGGCTGCGATTCCCACGCCGATCTCGATGGCCACACTTGCTCCGGCTGTGAGGACGCCGACTGCGACGCTCACTACCACGCTGATTACGGTGGACACTAGATCTGCCCAGCTGAAATCGAAGAGCCCGAAGAAGCTCCACTGCCCGCTTGGGTCGATGCGGTTGATTGGGTCGCCTAGGCAGTAAGCGTAGCCGTTGACTTCACCTGTGCCGAATGGGCTGCTGGGGTCGGCGAGGCTGGTGGCCGGTTTCTAGCTTCTGGACTCAAATTCGCCACCAACTTCAAGAGTTTCATCGGACGAGCTGGCTCATACACGGTCAATGAGGTTGCAAAGACGGGCGGGGAAATTTTCAAGGACGCTGTCAAAGGGGCTGTGGAAGGTGAAGTCGCCGGTCAGCTTACCTACGGCTTCTATGGGGATGCACTCTACAGCGCGTTGGAAGGAGAAGACTCCTCGACGCCCCAGCAGGTCTCGAATTCATCACCGGTAACTAGCACACCGTCATCATCTCAGCCCTCTCAGAAGGGCCAGGTGGTCGCGGTCAGAGAGGCGTCGTTGGCTAGAGATCCCATCAGACTTTCTCTGCGGGATGGTCAATCCACCGTTTCTTCTAATCGGGACCGCGCATTCGGTAAGGATGCCGGCAAGTCCATTCCTGGCATCTTGAATCGCCAGCTCAAGTGCACTTTCGGGCCGCTTGGAGCATCGCAGGGCAAGCGGCAAGCGACGGGAAGTGGTGCACTTGAGTCTCTGGAGAAGAAGAGAAGGTCGTGCGCGTCGGTGAGGAGTCAGATTCGGGCTCAGGGTGTTTGATTGAGGAGATGATATGAGTTCTTGCTGTGAAGGAGACGTTTGATGGATAAATGATGGATTAGCATTGAATGGGCTTTCTGTTGTCCGTCTCTCCCCATTTCTTCTCTCTGCCCTGCCAGTGTAAGCAAATATCAAAACAGCAATGTCATTCTAGTCTATCTAGCAACTATATACTATCACAATCTGAGATATTCCTCAATAATTAGTAAGTGCGGCTGTAGTCAGTCTATTAGTGCCGTGAACAGAAACAATGATGGTCTATGGTGCGCGAAAAAAATGAAATGCTAGAGATAATGGATAATCAGAGTGTGCAAGGGAGTGTGTAAGGGAGTTAGAAAAACCGAAATTATAATAACCACAAGAGTATAAAAGAGGAAGAAAGAAAAGAAAATAAGAGAGTAATAGGGTGAAAGAGTGTGTGGATAATCAGGAAAAGGAGATGTAAGGAGACATGAGGGAGACCGAAGAGATAGATGCCTCCATTCCCTCATTTGGCGATCTCAAACCGCCGGGAAGGGCTGTAGGTCTTGTGGAGGAATCCGGTGCAGCATGTGTACCACTACCACCGGTGCGTTAGGCCCGTTCGGATTGCGTGGGTCATCAAGACAGATTCTCCAGTGCATGAACAAGGAAGTCCCCAGCTGGATGCTCCAGTACACCCGGAACAGATACTCGTGACCGCCCTGTTGACCAGACTTGAAATTCATCACCGAGTCACGAGCAGGATCAACGATCCTATGCAAGGCAAGGCGGCGTGCTAGAATCATGTTTTAGTCACATAGACAGACTTAACAAAGGGAGTCAGGGGCAGAGGAAATTACTAACTTTGTGCTTGCCGTAGGCTACAAACACTCACGTATTGCTCTGGCGCAGTGACCAAGAACCGCATACGAACCGAGAACTGGCCCTGCATTCCAGTGAGACCCTTCAAAGAACACGCAGATTAGCGGAATTTTCCTGACGAAGCAATTGTTTCTTTTGTTTTTGGGAGGGGGTGGTGCGGAAGTCTAGACAACTTACTGGTCGGATAACTACAAAAGCATCGGATTGTTCTCGCAGCTCATTTCCAACCCGTGCAACAGAAGGGACTACCAATTGGATGGTGGTGTTGCTGTGGAAGCCCTGTACTCCATGCAACCTGGCCGCACACAGTGCCGCACCGCGTGAAACTGCCCGCACACTGCCAGAGAAGTCAGAATCATGCAGTTAATTGATCACTAGAAGTCTCGAGTGAAGACAGCTTACCTGTGTTGCAGTTCCCCCAGCAACTTGGGTCCGGCATTCGGGTAAGCGCGTGCAAGATCCTGTTCGACCTCACGGCGTAAGTATTCCGACTTGCCCAGCCCACCTGCCAGGATCATCTTCGTAATTCTGGCATTTAATGGGGCGGTGATTCGTGCATGTATCTGCCGAAGTATGGCTTGCACAACCGGCCTGAAGGCAAGGACCAGGGCATTGTGGTCGAAACGATACTCTACTTTGCGGTTTCCCTGCAGCTCAATCCGAATTGCGTGCACCTCAGTCCCGGTCCTGCCTGAGAATAGTTCTTTCACAGAGCTGATACACTGCCGAGCCTGAGCAGCGCTTACCCACTGTCTGGAGTCGTGAGGTAGGTCCGGGTGGGCAGTCCGAAGTTGCTTCACCAGTTCCAAGTCCACATCAAATCCACCACATCGGATGCCTGAGACGGATTAGCTACCCATATACAGGCCTCCGCCTTCGGCAAATCGGTGGTACGTACTGGTCGGATCTCCCAGGAGTTGGAAGGTGAAAGGACGATCTCCATTGTTGCCATCTACTTGTAAAACGGCAGTGTCCTAATCGAGTGTCAGCTGGATGGTACCTTAAATGACTTTGACCAAGATAAGCCTAACGATTGTGGAGCCGCCGCAGTCGCACACAAGAAGTATGTCACCATCCTAGTTATCCGACCTTGTTAATTCCAAACGCACCCAAAGGATTCTTGCTGGCTGCTGCTGCTCACCTGCATGTCATTTCCGTTCCTGTACTCATCAGCAGCCCATACAGCCGCAGCTACAGCTTCAGAGGCATAGGTAATGCGATGGTTGTTCCCAAACCATCCAACGCTCTCAACTGCAGACCGAAATTCCAGACGGCCGCGGTCTGACCAGCAATCTGGTTCGGTGAAACACCAGTGGATTTGTGGTCCACGCTCTCTAAGGTCCATCCACAGCCTGTCCCGCAAGTCTCGAAGAAAGTCACTGATGATTTTTCCGGTGCCAATGTCGTTCAGATCCACTGTGCCGCCGAGGAGGTCTCTCAGATTATGGCGTTGTGTGGCCACGTCTGGGGACCCATCCAGCATGAGTTTTACCCAAACATACGGCTCTCTGCCGCGGGATGCCGCGGCACTCCTTCCCCACATGATCTGACCATTGCTGTTGTATTTGAAGATCGAAAGGATTACACCGTCATTAGCGCCATGAGTAGCCCATGTCGTCAGGACGCCCAGGGTAGTCAGGATCGTAAGGACTGTAAAGTATGTTTATGTTAGCGAGAAGCAGAGAGAGAGAGAGAGAGAGAGAGAAATAGAAAATAAGGCAGAGGCAGAGAGGCAGAGAGACAGATAAAACAGAAAAACAGAAAGATAGAAAGATAAACTAGTAGAAAAATAGAAAGATATAAAAAACAGAGAAACAAAGAGAAAGAGAGACAGCAAGACAGCAAGACAGAGAGACAGAGAGACAAAAAAAGGGACTTAATAAGGAATAGGAGGGAACAAGGAACTTGCCCGTTTTATACGCGCCGAAGTCCACGGAAATGAAGTACTGGTTCTGCTCCATGGTGGATAGAGGCGGGGGACAAAGTGTTTGAAGATTTGTGAGATGATGTTAATGAAAAAAAATAAGAAAATGCATTCAAGACCAGCTGAATACATATACAATGGAGTTTGATGATGATATTGGTATGAGATTGAGAAAATGAAAAGGGAAGTGCGTCCAGTTGGCTCTATTTATGTTTGTTGATATGCCACTCAGAGTTACTACTACTCCTACTACAATTAGATTACAATGTATGATGCTATCTTTGAACTGCACCAGAGTGGCGTCTAGTTCGCATGTTCATCTCATGACCTGGCCGTGTCTCTCTCTGTCACGCTCACACACATACGGGCCCCTCCCCCTGTCTTAACTGGTCTACCAGTCAATTGCATGGCATCCGAGGAGGTTTGTTGCGGCTGAAACCCTCACACGGGCTAGATTTGCGGATGGGTTGATGCCTCACATCACACAAAGAGCCGGGTAGCCCTAAGAGCCAATAAGCAGCCAGGGAACTGACTGAATGAATGAACGGATGAATGAATGAATGAATGATTGAAGAAATAGACTTTTGGTCATCTATCCCCCCGTTTACCTTGCCCGATTTTCCTCTCTCTTTCTCCCTCTCTCTCTCTCTCTCTCAATTCCCATCATCTCCCTCCGTATCCACACTCTCTCCCAACTCTGCGACACCTCCTCTCAACATCTGCTGAATAGGCTCCAAACCAAAATTACTGATTCTACTTGGCCCTTTCGTCACGCTACTCATCGTCATTATGACCAGCCCCCAGAACCAACATAAGCGGCTCAAGCGCACTTGGTCGGATTTTGAAGAAGAATCTAAGTTGGCCATGGAGAAGGAAGCTATGCTAGACGCGGAGGAGGGATCTATACCGGACATATGGAACGAAGGGGGTCCAGCTTTGTTACCCACTGCAAAGTACCTCTGTCAGAGACAGGAGTATAATGAGATGATTGAACATTATTGGTCCATGGCCTTTATGGCTGGACCGCACATGAGGTCTTCACCAGCAGATTTCCAAAAGGGATTCATTAAGATTGAAATGGAGGTTCACAGTTGGGCTTGGCGCTTTGGTGAAGAAGATTCGATGCTTCATCTCTCCAGTGATGACAAACAGGCCATTATCGCCAGCCTAGATGGATTCTGTGTCCAAGAGGACTGGGACAAGATTCATTCCTCTCTTCCTCCTGCCGCTCGCTCTGTGTTTGGAAAAGTTTTGCTAGAGACCATGCTCAATCAGTTCATCTACAAAAAGTTTGCCACCTCCCCCTTTTGGTTTATGGATGCCAAGGTGGATGCAACGGACCAGCCCGGGGATGCCAACTTCATTAAGAGACTCGACTTTATATACCAGGGGTTCAAGGAAAGTATGTCCTCCTCAAGTCCGCGTTCCTCCTCTTTCCCTCGTCACGGGATCATTTGAATTCACTAACACTTAGACTTAACATAGTGTTGCCCACGAACGCAGCATGGTGGAAGTCAACCCTCGTGAGCATCAGCACTGTACAAGACCTCTTCTTGGGTGCTCCCGAACACACAGCACTCAGTCGAACCATGCATGAACGTCGCAAAGAACTCGTGAAGTCCTATGTGGACGAGCTGTGGGGGTGCCGACTGTTTCGACTCCTTCTCAAAGAATCGCTGAGCGAGTCGCTCCAGACATTCCGCGATGACAGACTCCACATGATTCTAGAGTTTGCGGCTCAAGAATTTATTGCTGGTCAAGCTGGAGTCTTTGGCAATTTAGTGGTTGAGCGACTGCCTGAGCTTGCCAAGTTTGATCACCATTCGGACACTATGGTAACCCATCATTTCCATGCTGGCTCTGAGTCCCACCATGGTGCTCAGGTTCTTCTCGTGGTAAGACCCCGCTACAGCTACCATGATACGATTGTGGGTATGAATTGGGTACCGGTACCTCCGATCCAACTCATACAGGCGGAGGTTCTGACGGCGCCAATGGCGCCAGAGCAACACGCTCAATGTGCAGCCGCTGCTGGCGATGATGACGCTACCCAGGATGAGAGAATCGACAATGAGGGGGTGGACAATGAGAGAAACGAACGAGGTGGAGAAGGCGAAGGCGAAAGGGAAGGAGAAGGGGGAAAGGAAAGAGAAGACGATGATGACAATGACAACGAAGGTGAGGATGATAACAGTGACGATGAAGAATTTGAGGATGACGAATGAGCGATATGGGGATTGGAGAGGAGGGGCTTTCCTGTTTTGTATCGTTTCGGTTTTCTTCATTTTGTTTTTGTCTCGTGAGATTCAACTTTATTGTTCCTTCATTTGTCAGTCGCTATATACTATCATCAAATAGATACTAATATCAATTTCGGGCTTACCTATTATACCTTGTGCACCGGTAACTCACAGCTTTCCCGTAGAATACGTATATCCCCGATATAGTTAGTATTTCACGCCATACTTTAAAGCAAGTGGTGATACTGGTTTATACTACCTAATACATTAGTA